CAAGGCCTGGCTCCTCGGCCCCCAGTCTGCCTCTCCCAGGAGTTTCCTTTGTCTCTCTCCACCAGGGCAGGGTTGGTGTGCCTGAACTGCCAGGAGGCACTGCCTTGGGAACCCCTGTGAGTCAGACCCCCTGCTTTCACCGGAGCCCCTGACCCTGCGGCTGCTGGGGCCCCTGTGGAGGGGGAGGGTGGGGTGGCCGCCAGGCTGGCGGGCTGGCAGGGCAGGGAGGGCGGTGTTTCTGGGAATTGTGTGGGGGAAGCGCATTGTTAGAGCAAGCCTGGAGCAGGCCGCCAGGGCCGGCTGCTGCTGGCCTCTGGGGGATGCCTCCTGCCTCCCCCAAAGTTCTGCCTCTGGGGGAGGGAGCTGGGCCTGGGCCAAGGCTGTGGGCTGGGCTGGGGACTTTCCGCGAGAGGCTGCTGGGGGCAGCAGTTCTTCCCATTCTGCAGACTGGGAGACCGAGGCCCAGAGAGGGGGCGGCTGGATGGCAGAGCCGAGATATGCGCTGGCACATGGGACAGGGGATTCGTGCTGGACTTGGTCTCTGGTCACTGCCCTGCCTGACCTCAGAGGCCGGGATCTGAGGGAGGCCTGGATGGGGTTGGCTGGGGTCTGAGCTCCACAGAGCCCCTGTGGTGGGGAACCGCAGCCCCCAGGGTGGGCTGGAGAGTCTGATGAAATAGGGTACGGAAACAGCTGGGTGCCTGTGTCGGGGGAGGGCTGCCGACAGGGTGACAGGGGAGGGGTGGGGGCTTCTGGGGCTGAGAGATCTCCCCGCCCGACCCCCGTGGCCATGGGGAGAGGGGGAGCGGTCTCCGTGTGAGTTTGGCAGCACTGGCCTTCCCGCCGAGGCCCCTGCCCCAGCCAGAAGGGAAGCACAGACTCGACCTGCTGGGGTCATGGCCGGCTTTGGGCGGGCAAGTGGTGGGGGACACAAATAGAAAAATAAATGGCCTGAGCTTCCGGTGTTTCCGTGCACTGAGGACGGGGGAGGGGCAGGCCTCTGGGCCAAAGGTGCAGCCCGTCCCTTGGGGGATGGACCCTGGACGTGTTGTTGGGATGTCCCCAGACCCCTGTCAGGGCTGTGTCTGCCCCCTCAGAGCCCCCAGGACAGGGCCAGGCTCCCTACGGCGCAGGACTCCTGAGGGCAGACCCATGTATCTCTCGCCATAAAGGGGTCAAGCGTGGAAGACCCCTGCAGGAGGGGACACAGCCCTAAGGGGGAGCTGGGGGGTCAGCCCCAGGGTGGGGGCAGGAACGGGACTTCTACTAGGCGCTTCCCTGGGGACCATTGCGGGGACGGAGGGCGGCCCCCTGGCGGTGGGCTGGTGTGGTGTCCAGGAGGGCATCCTGGAGTAAGGGGGCTGGGTGGGTCTGGGAAGATGAGCACGTCTGTCCCCCACCCTTGGGGGCTCTGTCCCTGCTCCTTGCGGATTCCTCTTCACCTCTGACCTCTAATCAGGAGCCCTGCCCCCACTCCACCCCTGCTCATGGCTCACAGTCTCCAGACACGGCCTGGCACCTCCTTGTTGGGTGCCCCTGGCCCTCAACTCTCCGTGCCCCACTCCTGCCCCTCCTGGGCCCATCTCAGGAGGAAGTGGAGGGGCTGGGGGTCGTGGGGACAGGGCCCCACCTGATTCTAGGAAGGTCTGTGTGTCAGGCCTGCAGCCCAGAGTAGCAGGCAAGTTGGTCCCGGGCTGGCCTCTCACGGGGTGGGGGGTGGGTGTTTTGGGGGCTCCCCTGCTTGGGGGTGGCCAGAAGGTGAAGGTGTAAGTTCTTTCCAGCTCCCCCCAGGGTGCCACGTTCCTTCCGTTACCCAGTAGGTGTCTGGGGGCTGGGATGCAGCAGAGGGTGGAACTCAGGCCTGGTTCTTTTGGCCGGCCGAGCAGTCCAGGGAGACAGACGCCTCACAGCCCGTGTGCGTGTGATTTGTACTATGCCCAGCGTGCACACACGTGGGCAGCTTCACGCATCCCCCCCATGTGACTCGGGTGGTATGCCGACTCCCTGGATGCAGCAAAGAGGACATGGGGTCTGGAGCCCCGGTGAGCGCCCTGTTGTGGGTACAGCCAGGTTCGCGGTCCTGATGTCACCCTGCAGGCACAGCTTTCTGAGGGCGCGGGAGGGTCTGGGGGCCCCGGCAGCTTGTTGGGGGACGTTCCTTGGAGGCAGAAGTTCCCAAGTTTGGGTCCGAGGGGTCTTGGGTGGGGCCGTGACTGACCTGAGCAAGGTCCTGGGGGTTGTGAATTCATGAGAGGCCCCGGGACCAGGGACTTCTGAGGTGGGGAGTCGGGGGTTTCGGGGTTGGTCGGTCAGTGCTACCCTGGCCAGGGTGGGACCCACCGACAGACCCCACACGTGAGGGTCACTCTCCAGGACTAAACACAGCCCCACCCGGGCGGCGTCGAGGCTGTGGCCAGAACCAACTGGACCTCCTGGGGGGTGGGGGAGGGCGGTGGCCACCTGGCCCGCAGGCCGTCTGTGGCTCACTTCCGCCACCTAGCGGCCTCTTCTCATTGTGGGACCTGCAGGACACAAGGCGGGTCACCCGGCCCGGACCCTGCGTGGGGGTGGCTTCCACGTGGGACTGCACCGTGTCAGGGCTCAGGGCTCCCGTGACGGGGCGAAGGGCCGTGGTCCGCAGGTCCCCAGCTGGGAAGCACCCCGCCTCCCCTGCCACGCACCCCCGCCTGCCTGTCCACTCCCCCTTCCCCATCACCTGCCCTGCCCGGGCCAGGCTCCCCAGGCTGGGTCCCCCTCCTGCAGGACGCCCCACCTCCTGGCCACTCTTCTCGAGCGCCATGGCGTCTTGGTCTCCCTTTGTCTGCAGCCTCGGTGGCCTTAGTCGAGAGCTTCTGAGACATGTCAGGCTCCTGATGAGCTGTCTCTGTGGCCCGTGCCGGAAGCTCCAGAGGTAGAGACCACCTGGCTTCTCATGAAAGAGGACGAGGGCCTGAGGCGGGCGGTCTGGGTTTTCCACTGGCCGGGCCGGGGCAGGGCCCTGGTGCTCAGCTGACAGCCCCTCTTCACCTCCCGGTCCTTGCTTTGGTGCCACATCGCATCGCGGGGCAGCGCACAAAGTAAGCCCCTGTGGGGTTACCATGGAAACCAATTACACTGAAACACAGTTACCAAATTATTTTCTAAAACGTGTGATATAGAACCTAAGTGCTTCTTTACTGCTGCAGCTCCCGGCAGCGACGGCAGTGAGCCTCGGCAGGACGCTGGGGTATCAGCAGGATGGCTGTGACACAAAGTGGCTCTAGTTTGTGCTGTGGTCAGTCCCAGCCCTGCTGCGACACGTGGTTCAGTGCTTCATTCGTAACTGAAGCGACAATACGTGTCCCCTAGAGAGCAATGCAGAGGCGACCGGGAGCCTTTCCCACCAGTCTTTCTGCCAGGGGGCTGGTTCCTGACCCGCAGGTTGACACCCTGTCCTATTCTCCCTCCCACCCGACCCAGTCCCCCTCCTCAGCTCCCGGACCTGCCCTGTCTCCATCTCTGCCCACCCCCACCTCCCCAGGTTGGCCCCTGTCCCGCGGCCGCCTCTGTCCCTCTCGGCAGCTTGGATACGGTCACAGGGGCTGAGGTACAAACTCTGCAGCCTTGGAATACAGTCCCCAAGCCCCTGTTCTCCTCTGTGTGCCCAATGTTCAGTGTCTACCCGGCTGGCTCTGCCACTTGAGGAGAAAGGACAAAACTCCAGGGCCCCACCCCTGGGGCACAAGGGGCAGGGCCCTTCCTTCTTAACCAGCTTCTAGGTCATGCTTTAGAGTCTCTGTGGCCTGAAACATCCAACCCAGTCCCACACATAGAAGCCTCCCTCACTCAAAGCCAGGACAGAGGAGGCCGCCCAGCTGGGCCTCCCCAACAGACAAAGTTAGGCTGATTCGAGGACTGATAGGAGGAAATTCCTCCTCCAAGCACCACGACAGGGCATCCTGAGATGCTGAGCTCAGCCATGGCTCCTGACAACGGCTGGAGCACAGGGGAGAGCGTGTCAACCACACGGTCAGCATGCAGCAAAGCACTCAGCCTCTCCCCTCTGGAGTGGGCGGATGTATCTCCGAGAAGCCTCAAAGCGGCTTCCGGTCCCTAAGATTACAGTCAAAAAGGTGAGCATGAGGAGAGGCCTCTCAGAAGCATCACCTGGGCTGCCAAGAAGGGTTCGTGCCAGACAGTCCAACCCTGGCGGAGGCACCAGTTGAGGCAGGGGCTGGGCCATCAGCACCGCCCCCAGGAGTAGGTCACTGTTACGGAGCCAGCCTCGAGGCCCAGTCCCCATCTGATTTCTCCGCAGGGCAAAGGAGGACAAAGTGCTGGGGGTTGGGGGTGGGCATGCAGAAACCCCGGAAAACCAGCCTGAGGACCCTCCCCCCCTTGACCATGCTCCGAGGGTCCCCGAGGCCACGATCCCGGCCAGAGCGCTCAGGAGGTCGGGCAGCAGCCCCGGGACAGCGGAAGGTGGCGGAGGAGGGCTCATGGGGCGGGGAGAGGGGACGGACCCCAGCGTGCCTTTGCGGCCCCGCGCAGTCGGACCCTGGCCGCCCCCGCGAGGTGTTGGGAGGAAAACGCGAGTTCGGCGCCGCGGCCCCCACGCACGGCCGCGCCCCGCGCTGCCGCAGCGCCCTCCGCCGGCTAACCGGTCCACTGGCGGCTGCCCGCGTAAGGACTACACTTCCTAGGATGCCCTGCGCGCCCCCTGGCTCCTGGGAGTTGTGGTCCGGGGCAGGGCGGGAGCGCGCGTGGCGGGCGGGCGCGAGAACTACGTATCCCAAGATGCAGCGCGGTGCCGCGGGGGCCGGAGGTTTGAACGGAGGGTCTCCCGCCCGTGGC